CAAAGGGAAGAGCTGAGCACAGCCCCGAAGGTGGGAACCTGCACAGGATGTTTAAGGAATAGCAAGGAGGCCACTGGGGCTGGAGTGCAGTTAGCAAGTGGCGATGGTGTCTGTGAGGCAGTGGAGGCCGTGAGGACTTTGGTAAGACTTTGTCGCTGGTGAGGAAAGGAGTGATGCCCTAACATCGTGTCAGGCTCCTGATGTCCCGTTGAGAACAGGCAGTTAGGAGGGGAGACAGAAACAGTTCGTAGCCTGTTGCTGCAATCCAGATGAGGGGATGAGGCAAAAACTACTAGTCTCTGTGTATTTCTGAAATTCGTGGCGTTCTATGGAGAATAAACATTATTTGACCACTCCACATTTTCTCTTTCTCTGACCCACATTTCAAGTAAGCAAATATATTAATGAGGGCTCTCAATCTTAGAATATGTTGACAGTTGTATTTAAAATCTAAATATCCAATGTCCTTAAATTTCATTAAAATTTTAAGTTTTCCTTTACTACTTTAAAAATCCTCTAACAAGATTATGGAACATGTACCCAGTGGAATTAGGCAACTACTATAATTAACAGTTATGAAGACTAGGTGGCGACATGAAGAAGCCTGAAGATGGAATATTCAGTGAAAAAAAGCAAGATGCAAAGTTGTGTATTTGTGTATTGTGTATTTGTATATGATGATTGGGAAAAAAGTGCCCATCACCTCCTCATTGGCCTCCCTCTGCTTACTCTTGGACCTCATTGCCTCTAACTCTCCCCAGGCTCAATTTTCTATAGCCATCCTGACCTTTGCACTGATGCTTATGCCTCCCAACTGTGCTGTCACTTCAGAGTCTTTGCATGGGCTGTTCCCTCTGATTGCAATGCTTTTCCTTCATGGGCCTGCATGGCTGACTCCCTCACCTCCACCAGGGAGGCCCTCCCTGATCTTGACAGTAGAATACCAACTTCTCCACTTTGGTACTTCCTGTCCTCTTACTTTGGTTTGTTCTTTCCACTGTACTGATCACTCTCCAAAGATTCTCCATTTTACTTGTATGTTGGTTTATTGTCTCTCTTCCCCTGACTGGATACTAAACTCCACAAAGTCAGGGGCATGGTCCATTTTCTTCAGGTTTTGATTTTTTGAACAGTACCTGGCACAGAGGAAGAAATCTTGTTGAATGAAAAACTATTACAAAAGCCTGAATTTAAAAAATTATTAACCTGATTATTGATGATACTTTACCTTATAGGCCTTATTGGAGAGTGGATGGATCATACAGGAAGTCATTAAAGGAGGGAGTTAAGAGGTGACTTAAAATCACGTACACTGGAGGAGTTGAGGTGAGGAGATGGCCTGGGTACATGAGAGCCACTTGGCAGACCCATAAGCCTGGGGTAGAGCAGCAGCTGAAATGCTGAGGGGTCAGGAGAGGCAAGACAGCACTTCCCCTGCTGAAAATGTGGGCTTGGCCATATGGAGCTGATGAGAAATGCCACTGTCAGGGCAACTTCTAATCCTGGAGGGAGAGGCTGAGGTAGAAGATACTAGAGGAGAAGAGCGGGAGCTCTCTGACCCATACTAGGGACAAAGGCACCACAAATGTTTTTTTTTAGGTACAGTGGGCAAGATCAGGACTGGAGAATGAGAAGGCAGCCAGAGAGCAGGTGCTTGTAGCAGGCAAGGGAATGATCAGGGTAGGCTGTCTGTCCTCACGTTGAGTCTGCAAATGCTAACAGCATGTAGCCTGCAGAGCTCTGGCTGAGGAATTGTAGGCAGAACTTATACTCACCTGTTCTAGGACAGCAGTGCTATGTAACACTGACCTGTCCACATGTTCCCATACAGGTTGGTAATGAGCTGCTGTCCAAGCGCCTCACCTAGCAGCCCACCTCAATCTCCCCAAGATCCCGAGGTGATGCTTGGGGCCTCTGGGGTCCTGCTCTGGCACTGCAGCTATTGTCTGTTTGGATTGTCTAGGCTTTGTTACATAGTTGGCTAAATATTTTATTGCCTCACCTGGCTTGAGAAGGTATATCTCAAAGTCCTGAAAATTTCCAAGTAGGTAGTATAATTCTTCTGAAGTGGGGTTCAAGGTGGAGGTGTTCCAAGAACTTGGAGTCGTGTTCAAAGACCTCCTAAGTTTATTGACCTCTTGTCACTTGGGAGAACTGGATTGATTACACTTACCCAGGATCTGTTCACTACTCACAGAGAGCAGAAGAATTCATAAGGGTGTTGTCTGATGAGTCTAACTGTGTCTGGATCACAGATCACTTTGATAATCCAATGGAGTTCAGTCTTAGATTCTTCAAGTTTGTACGGTTATTGGAACTAGTCTTAAAAGTTGGCCTAAAACTTTGTAAAGCAGAGACCCTGGAGGATTTTGCAGCGGGATTGAAAAGCATGATTTGTAATTAGTATTTTGCTTTCCATCTGTGGGAATTCTCTTAAAACATTTAGATATATCTTTTTTATCTTTTGCTTAGCAAAATAGGGATCTTCAGTTCCCTCTAAAGGAACACATTCCAAATGAGTGTGATCCAAAATAATGAGATCGGTACCGAGTAATAGAATAGATTGTGTCAAGAAAAATCAAGATGGGGGAAAGATTGTGAAGATATTTGGGCCTTTTAGAGTCAGATGACAGTCATCAGGAAAAGCTTCTTGAGAAAATCATGAGGATAAAGAGACTCTGCAGCTAAAACTGTAAGGTGTCCCAGCCTGGAAGACAGAGCCAGCTTATGTTCCCTTCTTCAGGGCACAGTGCCCAGTCTCCTTCCTCAGCCACCACTGCACAGGTGTGGGTCATAAGGACCTTGCATTTCAAGAACTCAGAGGCATTGAGGTGTGGTCATAAACATTTTCCTCTTCTATCTTTAAGTCAACCAAACATATAAACATTTATGATGGAGAAACTCATCCAAATATTTAATCCCATAGTTACTCTAACACAAGTACAGGGAAACTAGTGAGATCTCAGTTACATGTCTCCCGCTGAGAGAGTGAAGAACTAGAATTCTGCAAGGTGGGATGCCCATCTCTCCTCCTGACCTTTGAAACCGGTGAGCTCGGCTTCTAAGTACTGCCACTTACTCTGCTGTCCTGTGGCAGTTACACGCACATGCCTGCCATTCAGAGTTTTGGAGTGTGCGTTGACATCTGTGTGTGTGTGAAGATAAATGGGTGCTTGTTTTGATGTGGCACATGATACAAAGGCCCTGGTATGCCACAGAAACCTGGCAGTGGAGCCCAGCCTCAGGATGGGCTGTGGCCACTGGACTCGCTCACTTGGGGACCTGGTCTGGGTATAATTGATTTTCAGTTTACAATTGTATTTTTAATGTAGGAACAGAAGCTTTAACCAAAATAGCATTTTGAATCAAAATTAACAACTGCTAAACAAATGGGCAATTTTGAGGAGAGATTGTTTCTCAAAATACAGTCCTTTCTATGGTTGTCCAAAAAATTGCTGTAAAAATGTACACTTTGAGAGAGTGAAGAAGTGGAAGATGACTATAAACTTTAGGGAACCTAGAGGAAAACTGAAAAGTAGGGATACAGTAGCTTACCTATTGGGGTAAATGTAGGGATATTTCACTCTGAAACTGGGAGGGTACTCCAAGGTACCAGATAATCTAGACACAGCCTTCTGGACACAGTGCCAGGTTGCCTGAATAACGCATGGGAGCACACCGAACAAGTCAGGGAGACACCAGTCCCACCATCTCAGTGAGAAAGACCCCCCTGGAGCTGACCACGGGACCATCCTGACTGTACCATATGCTGCTACTGCCTCTCCTCGGGTAGGTGAGAGACACGAACTTGATTTGTCTTTCCCAAACCACACACACATCAGTTTCATCATTCTTCTTCAGACCAAGGCATTTGGCATTTTTCATCTGCCTAAAAATGTTTGCCAAGCTTTTACTGGAGCCACTTGATCAATTTCATTTAGCCTTAAAGACGGATTTGGCAGAGATTTCAGTCGTCCTATAATTCGCTGCAAGAGCGAAGGACCTGAGCTCCTCATGCCCTGCCAATTGCTGCCTGCCCCTGCCTGTGGGCTCCCTGGGAAGGGCTGGGCTGGGACTTAGTTAGCCTTTCAACATCACGGCCCTTGCCCCAGGCTAGGAGAACACTGGCTGGAAAGTCTGAGGGTATTCTTTTTTCATAAGGATCAGACTGCCTGGGTTCAAATTCTGACTCTATTACTTTGTAGCTTCATAATCTCTGGCAAGTTATTGAAACTTAGTCATCCACATGTACAGTGGAGATAATAATCAGGTTATTATGGGAGGGCATTTTTGGTGATATATGTAAAGCTCTTAACACAATGCCCATTTGTAGGAAAGCACCTAATACTTAGTTGCTATTATAATTAAACACTTGCCCTATTTTTCAAAAGCCATTTTAGCCAGATCAAATCTGAATATGAAAAAGGCTATTGACCATGAAGTTTATACTTCCCTGTTTTTAAAAATGTAAGCTTCTAAAAATTTATGTATATTCACTTGCATCTGTTAACTTAACTGGGAGATATTAAATATGTGTTGCTTCTTCAGAAATGTTTATGGGAGGATGGAAACACTATCACTCGAATTAATAGGTATCACCATTGATGTGTATTGTGTTGGTTCTTAGTATCTATCATATGCATGTGTGAAACTGAACCACGTAAAAGCAGAATTTAGGCATTCCTGCCAAAAGGAAGTGAATTGAAAGGAAGAGTAACAGAGCCTTTCTTTGCAAGGAGAAAATTGTCCTATCTCTCAGCCAGTGTCAGAATGTGGACATGTTTACAAAATGCTCATTAAAAGAAAAAGGGATTGCAAGATAGAAACAAAAATCTGGTGCACAAGTTTACACTAGAGAGATAAGAAAGGCTAGGCCCCTATAGGGGATTTTGTTATCCAATTACTGCAACCTGACTTTTAGGGGAAGAGGAAGAATGGTAGGGGGAGGGATAGAGAAGAGAAGAGTTTCCAAACTTGTCTGCAGTGACAGGAGACATTTACGCTCCACAAGATAAAACTGCCACTTAGAGCCCAGGAGAGCTAGACCTCTCTGGGGGCTCGAGCAGAGTCATGGGCACTCCAGCCCCACAGCTGTGTGCTCTCTTCTGCCTGGTGGCTCACTCCGTTTCTGGCAGCCCCATCATGAGCCTGGAGCAGTCGTCTCTGGAAGAAGATATGCCCCTATTTGATGATGTCTTCTCAGAGCAAGATGGTGTCGACTTTAACACATTGCTACAAAGCATGAAGAATGAGTTTCTCAAGACACTGAACCTGTCTGACATCCCTACACAGGATCCGGCCAAGGTTGATGCACCAGAGTACATGCTGGAACTCTACAACAGATTTGCAACAGATCGGACCTCCATGCCATCGGCCAACATCATTAGGAGTTTCAAGAATGAAGGTAGGCCTACAGTTTCTGATGCAAGTTGGCTCGGGTTTTTTTCAAGGAGCAGTAAGTAAATTTGCAATGCATGGAAATAATACAGATGAGGGCAAATATTCTGTGTAAGGGTATGTGTACACAGATACACAGAAACAATGCAAATCTGGTCAACACCATTTTTATGGTAATTTCCCAAATGGTATTAAAAGGGATGAAAAAATACTTTATGGAGGCCATAAAGTATGATGTCACAATTGGATCTTTAATTTTTTTAATCTGGACAGCAAGTAATACAAAAAATTCATGTTTGTCTACTACTTTACCTTTGTTGTTTTCCAGATAGGCCTCAGTTTCCATGTGCCTTTTAATTGACTACAGAATTTGTCAGCTTCTACTTAGAATCAAGAGGATGAAAGCAGACAAAGCACGCAAAGTTGTGATGCATGTTTTGCCCAAATTTTCATTGAGTTTTCCATTTTGTGATCTTATTTAAGAAATGTTCGAACAGTATGGAAACTTACTTTTCAGAGATTCTTCCTGAAGTTTTGTTGTGTTTGACATGACATGTATATCCTTGAAATACTGTTTATAGTTTCTAAGAAGTGTGTGTGACCCAGTTAGTGATCCAGCTTATTTCTGTGTCTTTATGAAGAGCAATGCACAAGCTTTAAATATCAGTGGGAAAAGTAGATTTTCTCCCCTAGATCTTTATTCAGTAGCTAAGTCTACTGACCTAGAAGTTAATTCTTTGTTTAATGCAGTGCTAGTAAAATAATTTTTCCTCTATGGTCCAAGGAAACTAATTCTTTAATATTTACCAATTATGCTTTTGTTGTTAACCAGGTATAAAAGAGGGTTAATGTGGGCCAGACATTCTTAAAAGCGGAAAGGCGATAATGAGGAAATAGCTCAGGAGTTGAAATTTTGAGACAAGGTTGACTTAGTAGTTGTGGATAATTAGCTTAATGTCTCTGAACCTCAACTTCCTCATCTGAAAATTGGGGGTAATATCACAATAATGAGCATATTATAACACATACGTGACACAATAATGAGCAATTTCAAAGAGGTTAAATAAGACAGCACACCAGTTGCTGTGAAGTGAAGAAATATTGGTTATTACTAATGGATTTCTGAAATTCTGGGCATTGAAGGAACTGTTGAGTAGGGATTGTTTAGTCCTAAACATGTCATTTGCCTTTAAAATTTAGGTAACGGCCAAAACTTCAAATATTTAGTAACATATTGAAAATGTTACTTAGCAATGTAATAGAAGGCAAACTGAAGTTACTGATCTTTTTGCAGATGTCAGTCTTTTGGAGGCGCCTGTTTTGCAGGCCACACATTTTCATAGCCTTTGGTGGCACCCTTCCTAATGTTTCTCATTACTGATCCCCTGGTTCCTGGCTCAGGGTGTGGGCGGGCATGTGTTTTCATGCCCTGGGAAAATCGGAGGTTTTCAGTTCTCACTTCTCCAGTGGAGGATTTGGATTATCCGATTCCGGAAGTGGAGTTTACAGAGCTGCTTCTTGCAGATCAGGGAGGGCAGGAGCAGAGCCCTCACTGACAGCTCAGCTGCCCGCGCCTCTGTCGGTCCACACGTGGAATCCTGCACAGGGCCCGCTCTGTTGCCTGTGAATGTCTCTCTTGACTGTTTGGGTCTGCTCAGTGTAGCTCCCTAGGACACAAAGACCAAAATGAAAAACAACAGCTAACCCCTGGCCCCCCAACTAATCTAACTAACTAGGGGAAAAGTTACTGCTACCTTCAAGGTGGACAAAGCATGACTTCAGTTCCTACCCCAGGTCTGACCTCACTTTGTCACCCTGGGGAAGTCAGTTCTGTGCACTGAGGCTTGATTTCTTCTGGTGTAAAATGAGCAGAATAGCAAGACCTGCATATAGGGTCATTGTAAGAATGAAAATAATGTTTACAAAGCACCTGGTACAAGAAATTTGAGCAACACACATTAGTTCCCTTGCCTGCAATGTAACACCTTCATTTATTACTTACTATATTTGAACATGCACAGTGAAAATTTTTTTTAAACAGCTTTACTGAAGTATAATTGACATACAATAAACTGCACATATTTAAGACATACAATTTGATAGATTTTAACATGTGTAAACTTCCACTGAAACCATCATCACAACCCAGGCAGTGAATATATTCATCACCATGGAAAGTTTTCTTGTTCTCCTTTGTAATCCCGTCCTCCCATTACAATAAGCTTTTACTCTATACTTTTCCCATGGATGTAGTAACCAGTATATTCCCTGTTTTTGGTCTTCTCATGTTCCCTGTCCAAAGGGAGTTAAGTCTCCTCCATTCTTATAAGGGGGTGGTGGGGGACAACTCCCAAGTTACTTGAAGTATTAAAGACAGATAACATGCTCAATAAATCAATTGATCTGATCGCCAGAATCATTAACTGATCCTCAAAATCATTGAAAATCAATATTTTTAGTGTTCTACCTCTGCTTAAGGCATTGTGGTAGATTGAAGGCATAGAAGGGAGTTTAAGCTGTGATACTTGCCAGCATCATGCTGGTCTAGTTGGAAAGATCCATTCATAAAAAGATAGCTGAAATGCAAGGATGAAAATAGCAAAGGTCAAAAGAGAGCTACAAAGAGTAAATAATCAAGTGACCTGGAAGAGAGTGAACTTTCAGCAAGGGTGGTGAGGAAGGGAAGGTCCCATGAGGAAGGGGTCATGGCTAGATAGGTGGAGGTAAGGGGAGGTGGAGGTGAGGGGACCCTTTCCAAGAGTCAGAAGAACATATTCGAAGGTACAGTATACAGGAAAGCAAAGGGGTGTTTTGGTAAGTGGTGAAGACGTCACACTTTAAATAGGAGGGTTAACGATTTGTTGAACCTTTTGCTAAATAGCAATTGATCAATTGCAATGTTCCAGGCACCGTAGGGGATGAATAGGATCTGATTGAATCAAGAGGTTAAGATGTACTTATAGCAAGTTTTGCGACCTATGCTAGAGTTTAAGTTCATTCCATTGAAAGGTATTTCCCACTGGCAGTGTATTAGATGATTGTAGGTGGTAATCAGAGGACGTTGTGAATCATGTGAAATCAGTATATGTTTTTATTAGTACAGATTGGAAAAAATCAGTATAACTATCATCTCAAACCCCTCATTTCATGACTGGTGCTGCTTAGGACAAATCTAAAGACATACTAAGTATGCAACTAATCAGATAAAGTCAAAGAAAAATGAAAACTGTACAATCTGGAAAAGAGACCCCCTGAAATCATAAATTGGGTATATAGTTGGGAAACACTGCCGAAGAGGATAGAGAACCCCTTGGTTGGTGGTCCTTAGCATCCGCAGTGTCACAGAACCCTCCTCTGTTTGGGGACAAGTGCTTTCAGGAATTCCTTGTAGGCATGTATTACCTGGAGCAAGTGTACAGGAGTTTGGACTCCTGTAAAATCCTCATATAGAAAGTCAACATGATAATATGTGGAGGTGTGCTTCCAAGACAAAATTACTTTTCAAATTTTATTTCATAAATGTTCTGAGTAACTTGTATATCTCCATGCCGGGCACTCAGGGTATAAGATTAAGACAACCAACCTATTTCCAGGGTTTTTTTCCTCCCATTCCTCCTTGCCAAGGACCACATTTCAACGTTCAACAGCCTGGTTTTATGGGTATCTTGTTGACCTTCTCAGACGTTGGTGTCTAGAGCAAGGGTTAGCAAACTTTCTCTGTAAAGGGCCAAAGAGATTATAAATATTTTAGGTGTTATGGGCCATATATTCTCTGTTGTAACTCTACCAATGTAGCACAGCAATAACCACACACAACACAGAAATGAAAGGGTGAGGCTGTGCTCCAATAACACTTTACTTCCAAAAATAGATATCTGGCCCTATTTGGCCTGTGGGGTAGTTTACCAAACACTGATCTAGATGGAGGTCTTTCAGGAAGACCAGTGTCCAGCCAACTATGTGGAAATCTCCACCCAGTACAAATGCAAATATGAAAAGCCATGAAATCCACATGCCTGAAAAGCTTCCAGAAAAGAACCATCACTACAGTTTTCACCTGATGACTCTCCACTGATTACAAAAATTGGGGGCCTGCTGCACAGTCTCCTAGGTGCCCCCTAGTTTTATACTTCTGCAGCTGACAGGCTGCACAAGCAAGGCTGTGAGAGCACTCTCCCATCCCTTAGGCAGCCTCCTTCCAGTCTAGTCCTGTCAGCTAACCTCAGTTCAGCATTCCGCCTTTCACCTTCCAGGTACCCTTTGTCAGAGTGCTAACATTGATCATCTCCCTCTTTCTCCCTGTATCGAGCTTCCTGTGTGGACAGGCCTTCTTACTTCATAAATAAGCTTCTGTTTTTCTTGGTGCCATACCGTAAATCTGATTTTGGTCTTTTATTTTTTTCAGATCTGTTTTCCCAACCAGCCAGTTTCAATGGGCTCCGAAAATACCCTCTCCTCTTCAATGTGTCCATCCCTCACCATGAAGAGGTTATCATGGCTGAACTCAGGCTGTTCACATTGGTGCAGAGAGATCGCATGATATACGAGGGGGTGGACCGGAAAATTACCATTTTTGAGGTACTAGAGAGCAAACGGGACAATGAGGGTGAAAGAAGCATGCTGGTGTTGGTGTCAGGGGAGATCTATGGAACTGACAGTGAGTGGGAGACCTTTGATGTCACCGATGCCATCAGACGTTGGCAGAAGTCAGGCTCCACCACTCACCAGCTGGAGGTCCACATTGAGAGCCGGCATGATGAAACCGAGGATGCCAGCAAGGGACAACTGGAGATAGACACCAGTGCCCAGAATAAGCATGTCCCTTTGCTTGTCGTGTTTTCTGATGACCAAAGCAGTGAGAAGGAGCAGAGGGAGGAGCTGAGTGAAATGATCTCTCATGAGCAACTTCTGGAGCTGGACAGCCTGGGCCTGCATGGTTACCCCAGTGGGCCTGGGGAGGAGGCTTTGCTGCAGATGAGGTCAAACATCATCTACGACTCCACTGCCCGCATCAGAAGGAATGCCAAAGGAAACTACTGCAAGAGGACCCCGCTGTACATCGACTTCAAGGAGATTGGCTGGGACTCTTGGATCATCGCCCCACCTGGATATGAAGCCTACGAATGCCGCGGTGTTTGCAACTACCCCCTGGCAGAGCATCTCACACCCACAAAGCATGCAATTATCCAGGCCTTGGTCCACCTTAAGAATTCCCAAAAGGCTTCCAAAGCCTGCTGTGTGCCCACCAAGCTAGAGCCCATCTCCATCCTCTATTTAGACAAAGGTGTTGTCACCTACAAGTTTAAATATGAAGGCATGGCTGTCTCTGAATGCGGCTGTAGATAGAAGAGGAGTCCTGTGGCTTATTTAATAACTGTAAATGTGTATATTTTGTGTTCCTATTTAATGAGATTATTTAATAAGGGTGTACAGATCCTAGAGGCTTGCTCCTTAGGGAAATGGACAGGTCAGTTTGCTGCAGGAAGTGCATGTTTTGCTATGCATGTTGTGCCTTCCAATGCATTTTGCTTTGGACTTGCCATTTCCTGGCAGTGCCATTTCTAACAGCAAGTGGCAAGCCCACACTGCTTGTCCTCTATTTCAATTGGAAAACAACAAGCCCTAAGCAGAAATACAATGTGGAAAGGTAGATATTTGTGTATGTATATGTGTACATAGATAAACTTATAAAACTGTTTTTGGTTCTATAGAGGTAAATTATACTCACACACACACACACACATGACTCAATCAAATGTGTACATGTTAAAAGCCAGTGGTATGTTCTCAGTCACCTCTTCTCTGAGTAGGATTTATGTCAGGATAATTTGCACCAGGAATTTAACCATCCTAGGAAGTATCACATTTCTTAAATACTATTAGAGATATAGGCGTAGTACTTTTCAGTTGAATTTGTGCCATTGCTCAGAGCAGCAGGGCCTATAAAAGACGCTGCATGTTTGCAGGGAGGGGTTACTTAATACAGAAACCAAGTGGCTTCATGAGGCAGTGACCTTATCCAATACCAAAGAATGAGCCCTTGGGACCTCAGTGCACTGAGGGCAGCTCCTGGTCATGAAAGGAAAACAGAGGGGACTTCAGGATGACATCTGTTCCTGAGATGATAGGAAAGCAAGGCCATGTGTTGGTTTTTATTACTGCAAAACATAAGGAGGGTGGGAGGGGACTCATAAGGGAGAAGGGGAAGAGCATATAAATAAATGCTATCCTAGGATGTGTTTGTAAAATTATAAGCAATTCTAATTGAAGAATTAAATCTTTGGGCAAAATAAAATTATCGAAGACCAAGAGGATGAAACTCAGAAAGGATCTGTTTGTTGGACTCTTCACTTTTTCATAGTTTTCTTCAATTTTAATATCTCTCCCTGGACTCTGCACCTCTGTTTTTGCTTTTTTCCAGCTTTTTCCTTCCCTCTTTCTTCTTTTGCCTAGCACCTTCCTTCCCCCATTCCTGTGCCCCTGGAATCACTGGGCTTCATTGCCCCTGCTGTGGGCTGGAAGGGGTCACCTGGAGGGGTTTGCTCTCAGGAAGAATGGAGTCAGTGCTTGATTTCTAGATTTCTCCAGATATTTTATCTGATTTCATTTTAAATGTATCCTTAATTAAATGTTTTGTTCATGAAGAATACTTAAGGATAAGAGGAAGAAAACCAGAGTTTGAATGGTTACATCCAAATAACTGAATTAATAAAGAGATACACAAACAGAGGCCTTGAAAGCTAAGCCTGAATTTTGAAATCAGGTTTGCCCCATGGTAGAAACCCTGTAGCCCTCCCTTCTTCCTATTCTGCAGTGTTCCTGTTTTGGATCTGACTAGGACTAAGGTTCCTGATGGGAATGGCCTGGCAGGTCTGCCCGCAGCTAGCCAGCAAGAGGAACACAGGCCCTGGCTCTGGTCTTGGCACCCACCCCCACCTGTCCCCTCAACATCCCAGGATCAGGGGCTTTGTGCAGGAAGAATCAAGCAGTGCAGTCCTCAAACTGTCCCTACACCTCCAGGCAGACACAGATGGTTCACACCAGCGTCAGGAATGTGGTTTCTAGTGCATTGTCCCCAGTCACCCGGTTTCATGCTTCCTTAGAAGTCTTGCATTTTTTGACCCTGGGAAACCATCAGCCTCCCTTTCACAAACCTCTTAGGGTTATAAACTCATATTGCACTAGAAAACAGAGGAAAGAAAAGCTATTTTGAAGGACATTTTGCCCAATTTGGACTTCAGCTCTGTACATCCACTGCCCACTGGTGTCCAGAGGGCAGATCCTGGGGAACTGACTTCCCTGGGAAGTGGTATTTTGATCACCAGTGAGTACATAGTGCTTGACAATTAGAGACGGCCAGGCAGCTCAGCCATTCATTTATGTAACTGCCCCGTATAAAATGCTGTGTGAGTGAGTGAGTGAGTGAGTGAGTGAGTGAGTGTGTGTGTGTGTGTAACTGGCTTTGGATAACCACACTTAGAGCTCTCAGTGGGAGGGGCATCCTTTACCCATGGTACACACGATATACTCATATACTCTATGGTACTTCTTATCCCTCTTTAAAAGACACTGAAATAAATACATGGTAAAACCTCGGCTGACCAGGATAGTTCTGGTTACATAAAATTTAAGCAAAATTTTCTTTATGTCTAGAATATATGAGAGTGGTGTACTAGAAAATGCTTTATAGCCAGGAATCCTGGGAGGTCGGGGAGTAATCTTGATTTATGGATTTCAATGGTGTATACACCCCACTATGGTCTATTTCAAATTACCAATTTTATATCAACTAGCTAGCAAAATTCCCAAAAATGTAACAACCTGCTCTCGGGAGCCACGGGTACCAACCTCAGCACCCGGCTGCTATTAGCACGCTGTCATTATTAGAACACAGGGATGTGCCAGCCCTGCTTTCCTGTGCCAACACTCTGCCAGCTTCCTGGAGAAATCTTGTCGCACGCACTTAGAATCACTCTTCTGTTAAAGAGACGTGAAAATCTAGGCTGTCGGCGACTAGGCAGCATATCCCAGGTGTTTCTCCTTTACCACAGTCCAGATGTAAACGTGTATGTCTAGGCTTTTCTTCTTCCCGTGGAAAGAGAGCACGGGAAGCCATATATTGGGAATCCAAATGTGGCTAGTTGCATTTTTCTTTTTTCTTCCTTCTCAGTAAAAACAGAAGATAGAAAACATAGTAGGGGAGTCCTCCTAGCTTCCATAAGGCCTCTTCCTGCCACTATTTGCCATCACAGTATTAACATGAAGCCATCAGCTCACCAGACCCTGAGGAAAGTAGAACTTGAAAATGTCTTCTGTGGTCATAGACCTTGGCTATATCCCACACCCCAGTCTTTTTCACACTTTTATGGTAGAATTGTCACCACTGAAGATGATAAGCCTAAATGATTCTTGAGAAGCGTTGTAGCAGAGGGACTTTGACAGCCAACAACTGAAATATTTCTGTAAAAGTTTCAAGGCTTCCTACTATTTATTGATGGATATATTTATTTTTGTAATATAGTGTAGAATACCAAATGTTTTATTTTTATGTTTGTGATTCCGTCTTGATGAAAATAGTCTTCTGTGCTTTTCAAATTGTACTTTCTTCAGAGCATGGCTCCTTTACAATATATGGCCTGTATTTTCATCTCTTTTTTGCATTAAAATTCTGTTACTTTAAGGAATCTTGTCATAACTTTGTATATTTGTGTCTTGTAGGCATGCTGTGAGTCCCCTGACATATTTACTGATTTGTAAAATAGTAGTTTTAACAGAATAGTATAGTTTTAACTAAAGTGGAGGTGTTCCAAAAAATATTTAACCAATAAATTGTCATGTTGTTCCCTGAACTTGCATTGTCATTTTTCCCTGAGAAGCAAATATTGTCAGGCTGTGAAGGCTGCTCACTGAGGGAAGGCAGTATTTAATGGGGACTTTTCATTCCCCAAACTAGATGCTTCCCCTCTGACTATATCCACTGCCATCACTGACCCACCAATTCAGAGACCTGGTTGGACAAATATGTTTATAATTGGACTAATTACTCTACAAATGTAAAAAAAAGGTTAAGTGAGTCCCAAAGCAATCAGTCTCAAAGTGCCTAATTCTTGCCCTTTGTATAATTTTTGGCCTGGGAAATTAATATAACTTGTCCTCAAACTGTTAGCAAATATTTTGGTATTCTTTGGAATCTATGTTCTTCAAGTCAAAGATATTTCCGTAGAAAGGAATTTTACATCTCACTTCTTGCTGGACTCAGCAGCAGCCCATAAAGCCCAGCAGTGTTGTGGCAGAAACATTTACAGTTTGTCTGTGACACAGAAGTGACACTGTTCTTTTTTAAAGATTATGGATCTTTTCACAGCATCACCATGGGTTATACTTAGCCCTTTGCAGTGCTGGTGAGAAAGGAACACTACTGTGACTCTGCATTTTCTTGCCCCTAACAGGGACATTTGACTTCACACATTAGATGGAAGGAAAGTAGGTAACACTGAACAATAGCAGCATGAAAGGGTGATTCTGGGTGCGGAAATGTATCTGTGAGATACTAACCTCATATAGGAATGACTGTTGTGAGCAGCATGCTTCTGTCACACACAAGTACTCGTTTTGTGCACTTTGGGCCTGACTGTTGTGGGGAGGGTGGACATGCTCGTGACATCTAACAAACTTCCACAAATATGGGAAATCAGCGAATGCCCAGTCACACCCATCAGCTGAAGCACGTTCATTTTCTTGTGTAAAACCTGTTCATTATCTATGTCCAGATTTGTGTAGTGATTTCTAGACTAAAAGGAAGATGGAAATATTTACACTGTATTCATAAACTGAATGTGTACATTCAGACTCATCTTGCTAAATAAAATGGAAAAATTATTTTGTTGATAATTATTTTTCCTTGAGCTGAAATCCCTTTTGCATTCTGCCCTGGCATTTTTTTTCTTTTCACCTTTGCATTTCACAGTATATTAAGATGGAATAAAACCTTCGACTTCGACTCTATGAGGAGCATGGCCTGAAGAAACAGTAAGCTGGTTTTAGCTTCTAAGTGGCCTCACCGGAGAGTGACGTTCTGTTGTCATGTGGGTCTCCCTTTGCACACAACTTTCTGAAAATTCCATCAATGCCAGAGACATACATAGAAAATGAAATTGGCTCTCTTTGTCAATAACTGAGAAATATTTCTTCTTTGAATTTAGAATGAGACAGATTAAAGAGCAATTACTTCTTAATTGCTCTCTAAATATATATATTCAAATACTCAGGATATGTAAATCTATTTATTAAAGTAATATATTTGAATATTTTAAATACTAAATATCAGAGAATATTCAGGCTGAATTTCACTGAAATTTGATTATTGAACCTCACAGCATCTCAGGGAATTTTACCAATTCTCTATACCTAATGTGCCCCTCTCCCTTCAGCAGCCCACCAAAGTACTTTTCAACTTTTCCACAAATCTTACAAAAGAGAAGGGTAGGCTCGCCCTTCTTAAGGGCCCCTATTACATTTACAGAGGGCTGTGCTTTGATTGTATTCAACTGAACAAATAGTTTAGATCACTCAGCACACAGGTCCCTGAAGGAGAGACAGAGGTGAGAAGAAAGTCGGTAGAGTGTTCTTCCTTGTATTAACTGAAGTCTCGCCTGGTGTCCGCACCACTTCCTAGGCCTTAACTCTGGAGGCTGCACATACACATCTAATTTGTCTCCATGCAAATAACCTTCCTGTCCTGGATCCACTGCTCCCCACTTCCGGCAACTGCGTATGTCTGAACACATGGCCAGACACAATGAGCAGAAACTCACTGGCTATGTGGTAATAGCCAGGCAGAAACAGATGGGAGGCCAGCACCGGGACTGGGCCAACTTCTGAGTGGGGGACAGACAGACCCTGCTGCCTGTTGTGGGAGGACGTTCATTCTAATGGCGGAAGGTGGGATTTGAAGGGGGTAGAGACAGTCCCAGGTCAACTAAAATTTCTTTCAGCAGACAATCGTCCTGCACAAGTAGACAGTCCTCTGATACCCAGCTGTGGGTCGGCAGCAAGCACAGCTGTCGTCCCTCAGTATCAGGGAAACTGATACGGGCAACACAAAAGTTGTAGTCCTGGAGGAAAGGGAGCAGAGAATGCAAGATGGGACTAGGCCAGGGCTGGCCATTAAAGGCCTGGAAAGCCGTTATTATGACTTGATTTTGAATTCTTCAGCAACCTTTTCATTCTCTTCTGTAAAGAATTCCATTTATGGAAGTCTCTCACAGTCTGGTGCCTGGACCCATTATCCACACATGGTCGAACCCGGGCATAGCAGCCACGGGACCAGCTATCGTGGTTCTGGGAGGTTCCAGTCTCCAGGTGCAGCCTGGGGGGGGCACTGGGTGGACACAACTGCACGTTATTTGGGGGGTTTGTGTACTTACAGAGTAAAAGATAAAATCATTTTCAAAGCTCAGATTACACATTTAATAATATATTACAGTCTCTAATAGTGTTCCTAATGTGAATTGACCTTTGTGGTATGGTGGGAAAATAATGCCAGGAGTCTGGCTGCATGTGACTCCAGTCACACGGATGAGAGCCCACTTTTGTGCAGAAGAGACTATTTGTAAATAAGGGGCCTATTTGGAGAAGGTGAGAGCTTGTTAACTGGGGTGGTTATAAATGGATGATGCCATTATCTCCAACTCACTCTCCCGAACTGTCAGTGTACAAGAACCAGTTCCTGCCCCTCTGAACCTTCCTCAGACCATTTGCACAGATCCAAAGTGCTCATCTTGCCCTGAGAAGAAAGCTCAGAAAAACATGGACACCCCCATCCACTTTTACCCCGACATGTGATTCTGAGACTTAAAAAAAAAATTCAGGCCTCTCAGTTCACACTGAGTTTCTTTGGTGGGATGCGTGAAGCACCATTGTCATATCAGGATTTGGCAGAATTTCGCTAATAGGACACAGAGCCCATGTTCTGGCACTGCCTGGGAATAATGTTAGAAAATCTAGTTCTGACACTTTTTTAGGGTCCCTACAATGATACATATGACCCATAACCTAACCTAACCAATAATGAGGAAACATCAGACGAACCCATTTGAAGAACATTCTACAAAAGAGTCAGACTCTTCACAACTGTCAGTGGAAGGCAAAAAGAGAGGAAAAAGGCCATGTGTGATCCTGGACTGGATCCCAGATCCTTAAACAAATGGGCAAAACGGATATTATCTTTTTGTTAAGCTCACTGCTGCTCAGCTGGTAGCATTTCAAATGACATTTATTTAAAAAACTCTTCTGCCTGGCTATTACTTTTTTTCTGCAGCTGTGAGAAATTAGTATGGGAGGACTAACCAGGCTTGTGCCCAAGGCAGTGCCTAAGAAGCAAGCAGGCTGCACCTAAAGTGAGACCTTTGCCCAGCAGGCAAACTCAGCAGAAAGAACAGAGCCCAGGGAAACTGGTCATCGGCATGGCAAAGCCTGATGTCAGTACGAAGCTGCAACAAACGTGTTCCTAAAATAACCACACTCAACACTCTATTCCCCGAAAAGCAGCATGCTTTTCAGGCAATAAACCATCTGTTTCAAGTGTTTAGAAAACGAATCTCCAATCACTGGTAATTTAAACTTCCTTATGCCCCAGTTCAATGTTTGATAAGGAAAGAGTGCTAAGGGGCTGGGAACTGAGTTACTATATTAAGAAACCAAGCCAGAACACAAACCAGCCCCCTGTGGTTATTTTGTTTATGCTCCAGGCCCATCTGCTTTAATGAACATAATATTTACATGAGACCAGCTCCTTTCACATCTTTTGCTGCAACTGGCACATGGTCTGTTCTTTGTGCTATTGTTTGAAAAGTTTCTGCAAAATCACAATTGAGAATATGTCTGAATGAGGTGTGCACTGTGAAATCACATCATAGCATCCCAGTCCCAAGGTCTGGGCCCACCTGTTTTGTGCAGTGTGAGGTGAGGCATCAGGTTGCCAGGTAAAATACAGGTGTCCAGTTAAATTTGAATCTAAGATAAACCAAGCATAACTGATTTAGTGTGTCAAATCAGTTACACATGTTTTGCAGGACAACTTACAATGTAAACATGTTTATTATTTATCTGATATTCAAATTTAGTTGGGTGTTCTGTGTTTTTTATTTGATAAATCTGGCAGCCTTAGTCAGATATTGCTCAGAAGTTTACATGAATGGAATGAGCCAAAGGAACATGATATATCCCTTCATTCGCACATGGGCCATTCAGAGGATCATAAATCAAGCCTAACAGGGTTCATTGTAGAGGAACAGCTTTGAGATGAGAGGTTGAAATCCACTTGACCCTGATACGTACCAATATGAAAAACAGTAGCACTGTCTAGCACATCATTCTTCCAATTTCCCTGGAAATTTTCCCTTCAATGTTTCTCTTTTCATGTTGACTTTGCGTATTCGTAAAAGTGAAGTTCCTGAGGAGAAGGATCTGCACATGTACTATGTATCATTCTGAGAGATGCTAGCAAGTTACTCTCCAAAATGGTATACCAAATTACAGCTTCACTTTCTCTTTCAAGTTCTTTGAAAACCTCCAATTTGGCAACTGCCTCTCAATGTGTAGTGACCACGAGCTGGCTGCTTCCTCCTGCTGAACCTGGGGAACTAGGAGGGGACCCCAGGTTCTTTTGTCCGTCTACAGTCCACCGTCTGTATACAAGAGTGCTATTCTGTAGTTTCCAATATTCAACACTACTGCTCTTCTTCATGGATGTTGCTACAGTGGAATTGTGTTCCCCCCAAAATATGTTGGAGTCCTAAATCCCAGTACCTCAGAGTGTGACCTTATTTTGGATATAGGGTCTTCAAAGAGGTAGTCAGGTTAAAATAAAGTCATCAGAGTGGGCTCTAACCCCATAAGACTGGTGTCCTTACAAAAAAAGGGCAAATTTGGATACAGATAGAGACATGAACGCAGGGAGAATACCAGATGAAGGTGTAGGGCAGCATGATCATTCTCCAAGCCAAGCAACCCCACAGACTGTCAGCAAACTGCCAGCAGCTAGGGGTGAGGCACGGGCCCGTTTAGAAGGAACCACCCTTGCTAACACCTTCATCTCAACCTTTCAGCTTCCAGAACTGGGAGGCAATAAAATTCTGTTGTTTGAGCCACCCAGGTGATGGCATTTTGTCACATCAGCCTGCAGAAACTAATCTAGATGGTCAGTACAGTAAAGTCATGGAAATAAATTTAATTGGTTTCCTTAAGGATTTTGGTGAGCTTGAATATATTTTCACGTATTTCTGAACGAATTCTCTT